CTGTTGCAGATACACTCACAATACTCCCAGCCTCATCTCTTTGCTATCTTTGCTTTGCTCTGTCACCATAGATATCTTTTTAAAACTTCAACTGGATCATTTCACTTTGTTCCTCAAAACAGTGAATAATTCCCAGTGCCCAAGTCAGAAATAAACGTTAATTCACACAACATGGAATGTGAAATGCCCTGAGGATTCTGAGAGTAAGTTGAATTTTTAAAAGTAAAATGATAAGTAAAAAAGAAAAAAAGTAAAAAGTAAAAGAGATAATTTAGGCTGAACATGCATATTTTAAGTCAATACAGAAAGCAGACATAATAAAACATCCATATATATTTGGTTTATCTCAATATAAACAAATAACTTCATACAACAGAATAAATATATTTTAATCATTCAGAGTAATTGACAGAAAATATTACTTGGTCACCAGAACCTTATGTTGTTCAGAAAATTCAATATGAATATACTGTAGATACTATATTGTTATATTTATAATTATGGAACTTAAAAATTCAGAAAACTTCTTCAAATGGTCAAAGCTTCTGAATTTTATAAAATATAAAAATTCTGTTTTTAAAAATTGAGTAATATCAATTTTTAAAAATTCATTTACTTTAATTGGAGGATAGTTACTTTTCCATATTGTGGTGGCCTCTGTCATAGCTCAGCATGAACTGGCCATAGGCATACACGTGTCCCCCCTCTCTTGAACTCCCCTCCCACCTCCATCACCATCCCATCTCTCCAGGTTGTCACAGAGCACTGGCTTTGGGTTCCCTGTGTCCTACATCAAACTCCCACTGGATATCTACTTTACATCTGGTGATGAATATGTTTCAGTGCTATTCTCTCAAACCATCCCCCCCTCTCCTTTTCCCACTGTGTCCAAAAGTCTGTTCTCTATCTCCATGTCTCCTTTGCTGCCCTGCACCTAGGATCATCAATACCATCTTTCTAGATTCCATATATATACATTAATATATGATATTTGTCTTTCTCTTTCTGACTTACTTCACTCTGTGTAAAGGCTCTAGGTTCATCCACCTCTTTAGAACTGACTCAAAAGTGTTCCTTTTTATAGTCAAGTAATATTCCATTCTGTATATACATATGTACTTCAATTTCCTTACCCATTCATCTGTTGATTCTAGAACATCTAGACTAAGCTGAACATCTAGATTCAGTGCAATCCCTATCAAACTACCAGTGGTATTTTTCACAGAACTAGAACAAATAATTTCACAATTTGTATGGAAACACAAAAGACCCTGAATAGCCAAAGCAATCTTGAGAAAGAAGAATGGAACTTAAGGAATCAACCTTCCTGACTTCAGACTATACAACAAAGCTACAGTCATCAAGACAGTGTGGTACTGGCACAAAAACAGAAATATTGACCAACGGAACAAGATAGCAAGCCCAGTGACAAATCCACATACCTAAGAGCACCTTACCTTTGATAAAGGAGGCAGGAATATACAGTGGAAAAAAGATGGTTTCTTCAATAAGGCGTGCTGGGAAAACTGGTCAAGTATGTATAAAAGAACAAACTCCCTAACACCAATACAGAAAAATAAACTCAGATTGGACTAAAGACCTAAATGAAAGACCAAAAACTATAAAAACTCTTAGAGGGAAACATAGGCAGAACACTCTGACAAAAATCAAAGCAAGATCCTCTATGACCCACCTCCAAGACTAATGGAAATAAAAACAAAAATAAACAAATGGGACCTAATTAAACTTAAAAATTTTGCACAATGAAGGGAACTAAAAACAAGGTGAAAAGGTAACCCTCAAAGTGGGAGGAAATATTAGCAAATGAAACAACTGACAAAGAATTAATGTCTTTATTAATTAATTTATTAATAAGCAGCTCACGCAGCTCAATACCAGAAACACAAACAACCCAATAAAAAAGTGGCCACAAGACGTAAACAGATATTTCTCCAAAGAAGACATACAGATGGCTAATAAACACGCAAAAGATGCTCAACATCACTCATTATTAGAAAAATGCAAATCAAAACTACAACAAGGTATCATCTCACACTGATTAGAATGGCCGTCATCAAATAGTCTACAGACAATAAATGCTGGAGAGGGTATGGTGAAAGGGGGACCCTATAACACTTTTGGGGGGAATGCAAACTGATAAAACCATTATAAAGAAGAGTATGGAGATTCCTTAAAAAACTACAAACAAAACTACCATACAACCCAGTAGTCCCACTACTGACATATACCCCAAGGAAACCATAACTAAAAAATACACATATACCCCAATGTTCATTGCAGCATTATTTATAATACCTAGAACATGGGAGTAATATGACTGCTAATGAACACATGTAACTATAGTATATTTATGAAAATTATTAAAGTAACATTGCTATAATATTGTTTTATATACTTTAATCAAATTTTGTCAGTTGTTCCAGAAATACTGTTCATTGATTCGGGATCTAAACCAGGATTATATGCTGCATTTAGTTGACGTATTTCTTTAGTATCCTTTAGTCTATCAACTATTTATTTTGGGACCACAGCAAATAAGACTGTCTCAGCCTTTATGCCTCTGCTGCTGCTAAGTCGCTTCCGTCATATCCGACTCTGTGCGACCCCTTAGAGGGCAGCCCACCAGGCTCCACCGTCCCTGGGATACTACCCTTCACCAAAGGTGGCACAGTGATAAAGAACCACCTGCCAATGCAGGAGTCTCAGGTTTGATCCCTGGGTGGGGAAGATCCACCAGAGAAGGAAATGGCAACACACTCCAGCATTCTTGCCTGGAAAATTCCATGGACAGAGGAGCTTGGAGGGCTGTAGACCATGGGGTCACAGAGAGTCGGAGGCAACTGAGCATAGCATGGCACTCTATCAATCATTTATTTTGGGACCACAGCAAATAAGATTGTCACAGGCTTTATGCCTCTAAAATTCACCAAAAATACCCCCAAACTCTGAAGACTTCAGAGGCTAAACTTAGACTCTAGAAGCCCATAGGAGATAATAACTTACCTAAATCTTGGATATTCCAAAACAACATCAATTTCCAGGAGATTTTGCTCTCCTTTATGCAACTCATGAAAAATGCATTTTGGATTTCCTGAGGCTTCCCAGACAGCTAAGTGGTATACTGGTGGTAAATGAGCAGATTTGCTGGAGCATGGTGCTATCATTGGCCACCTTTTTCATTTCAACCTAGCTAGTGATCCTGCTGGAGGGTCAGAAGACAGCATTAATCCCCTCTGCATTGGAGGAAAATCACTTCTGTAGAATATGCCAGGTCAAATAACTGAGAAGGATTGTAGACATGAAGACATAGGATGTAGAAATAACTAAATCAAATTATCTGTAAGAAGAAATCTTTGAAATTGTTCCCAAACTGTCATATCTTAAGAAATTAAAAAGGACATCAGTGGTTTCAATCCTAAAGTAACTTTTGCTTCCATGAATTAGCATCTTGTTCTTAGCTGTAAGACATTAACAGTGTCTCTTGAAATATACATTCAGTTAACATACATTTACTGAATACCTTTATCCTTTATACAATTGATATTTAAATATAGAAATGAGTAAAGTATGGTTCTTAGTCTCAGGATGCTCACAGTGTAAGGTAGCTCTGTTTTTACATTCTAAGTCTTTAAAATGTAGTTAGTGTATTATAGTTACGGCACTTCTCAGTTTGGATTAGTAACATACCTAGTGCTAAAGAAGCACATGTGGCTACCATATTGGACAATGCAGATCTCGCATGAAGACAGAAATGATGATTAAACTATATTACAAATGATAAAGTCTATGATCCAAGTATATCCTAAGGTTCTAGAGAGAACAAGTTAAGTTGCTTACTCCTTAGTATCTTATATTCAAGTATATGTAATACTACTTTTGTACGTAATACATAACACATTTACTTTTTTAACTAAATGAGTAGACGCAGAGTCAAAGAAGTAACTATTGAGACATATGAGCCATTTCTTGAGGGGTGTTTTAAGGTCTCCCCAGTAGCAAAGGAGGCAAAGAGTGGAAAAAAAAGAAAAGTATTGCCATGCAGAAGGAAGAAGATGCAGAAAGTTCCTGAGATCTGGGGCCTATTTCAAAAGAATCTGTCTTTGCTGTAATTATAAGGTCTGGATTTGTTTCATAATTGAAATAATCTATTGAGCTTGCCATACTTTTTTGATCATACATGATTTTGGAGGAGAACACTGCAGAACTAAAGTATAGAATTGACTAGTTGCTAAAGGTAGTTTGTGCCAGACAATTCATTCAACTTGAATAATTCAGGTCAATTTTTTTTGGCAGCCTCATTTTGCCTAGATTCTTTCTGTGAAAAAAAAATGTTACTATGTATATGCATATACATATGCATATATGTATACATATGTGTATATAAATATTGGTTGTTTATATTGCCTAAGATTAGTGTAGGAGGTTCCAAATTCTGATCCAGTCTGGCATTACAAACCTGGATTATAGCTTAAAAAAAAAATCAAATGAATATCAGCAGTACTGTATGTTAATGTTTGAAAGATGCTTCACAGTTTTGAATGAATTGGTTCAGTGTAACTTTTCTAAAATGCACTTGACCAATGCCAGCTCCTTGAGAGGAAAACAGATTGTTCCCTCTCAGTGAAAAGAATCATATGGGAAACAGTATGTCAACAACTCTTTCTCCTTTTAAGTCTGATTCATACTTCCCCAATGCTATCATAAGGTCATTTCCTCCAGTTTAATTTTGCCCTTGATCTGTAGATAAATGATGAATTTTCTGTATATCTAATGTTCTCAGTCAGCAACCATTCACACAGCTCCTAAGCTCTGTAAAAAAAGAAAAAAATAAGGGAAGAAAAATCTTGAAAAATGCAGGAATTGAGTATAACACTCCTTTACCTTACCTAGTTTAAGTATGCAGATCTTTCTTTTATAAAGAAAGCTTGGGGGGCCAGTGGGTAACTGAACAATCCTAGAATTGAAAAGCACACCAGCCTCACAGAATTGCTCATTTGCCTCAGGAAATAGCAAGAAAGGTGAAAATGAATACCTCGTCCAAATGCAAACCCACTCAAATGAAGTGTGAACGCCAATCAATTTTAGCAGTGGTCTGGCAGTCTCGATTCCGAACAGCAAGTTGAGACAGCAAGTGCCTAAGTGCCACTGCCAGCTCTGTTGAGGGAGCTTGCCCAGCCTGGCCGTGAGCTGCAGTCAGTACATTCATGGAGCAAAAGGCCCGTCTTGTATCTGTAACGAGAGGCAGATTCTGCACTAATTATTCTGGCTGCAAGCTTGTTACAAAAGTGATGTTCAGCATGTTCGCCTGAGTTCTTTGTTATTGGTATGTTCTTCCCCCAGTTTGTAGTCCACGTGCAAGGAGCATGAGGAAAACTTGAAAATGAATGTGTAAGTAAAAGATGCTTATACAGAAAGCAACCTTTTATTTATCAAGCAACCTTTGATTTATTTAACTCTTAATTTAAGGGCTAGTTTCTCTTACTCTGACTTTTCTGGAAATACTGACCTAAATTCTTTGTGTATGCAATTTTTATTAAGTGCCATACATGGCAGAATATATATATGTGTGTGTGTACATATATATATATATATTTTTTTTTTAACAACAAAAAAGGAAACTTTCAAAAAATGGAGTTGTTTAAAATAGTTAATACTGTAAACAAATCCACTCACATTTAACACGTTTTGCCAATTCTAATCCAAAGCAAGACATTTAAAAAAATATTTTTTCCTTCAAAGCAATATCTCTACAGTCAGTAAATATTACATTGTGATGTAGTACTGTTCTATTAATAGAATGTTTCAAAGCTGAAAGGAGAAAAATCTTAACAGATATGCTTTTAAGTTTTCATGAAAAGCAGGGAATAAATCTGTTGTGAAGCCCACATCAGTTTGAATGAAAATCAAAATTGGCAAAACATTTGAACTAAACTTGTAAGGTAGTACCTTCCACTACTGTTTGGCTAAGTTTCAAGGAATGAGAAAAAGACAGTGGTAACAATATCAACAAGAGTAACACAAAATAAAAATGGAAACCACATTTTGATACCCTCCATTATGTATTAGGGGGATTTAAGAATCCAAATCTGAACATCCCAAGTTCTTCTGTAAAGTCAACAATATGACTAAACAACCAGAAGAAATTACAAACATAGAAAATTTTTTACTTTCAAAATGATACTAGCCTTTGTATGTGTCAGGCATTCAGTAACATTAATGGCTTAGACTGACATGTGAAACCAGAGTAGAATTAAAAAAAAAAAAATCCTCAAAATGAGAAAGAGCTATGATACACCTCATGAGCTATTTTTTTTTCCCAAAGAAGTATCACTCTGAGCTATATAGTTGTTGAAGTCATGCTGTAGATTAAAAACAGGTGAGAATACACAAAGAAAAATTTAAAAAGAAATAACACAGTGAGAAAGCTACCATTTCTAATAAATCCTTTCCAAAATGAAAGACATAAAACTGACTTCATTTCAGAGCCCCTGGCAGCATCACTGTTCATATTATGTTGACACTAATGGTTGGCTGTTCCAATAGGTATTCAGTTCAGTTCAGTTGTATCCAACTCTTTGCCACCCCATGAACTGCAGCACGCCAGGCCTTCCTGTCCATCACCAACTCCCGGAGTTTACTCAAACTCATGTCCATCATGTCGGTGGTGCCATCCAACCATCTCGCCTCTGCTATCCCCTTCTCCTCCTGCCTTCAGTCTTTCCCAGCATCAGGGTCCTTTCCACTGAGCTGTTTCTTTGCATCAGGTGGCCAAAGTATTGGAGTTTCAGCTTCAGCATCAGTCCTTTCAATGAATATTCAGGACTGATTCCCTTTAGGATTGACTGGTTGGATTTCCTTGCAATCCAGGGGACTTTCAAGAGTCTTTTCCAACAACATAGTTCAAAAGCAGAAATTCTTCAGTGCTCAGCTTTCTTTATAGTCCAACTCTCATGTCCATCCATACATGACTCTGGAAAAACCATAGCTCTGACTAGGCAGACCTTTGTCAGCAAAGTAACGTCTCTCCTTTTTAATATGCTATCTAGGTCAGTCATAGCTTTTCTTCTAAAGAGCAAGCAGCTTTTAATTTTCATGGCTGCAGTTAACATCTACAGTGATTTTGGAGCACAAAAAATAAGTCTGTCACTGTTTCCGTTGTTTCCCCATCTATTTGCCGTGAAGTGATGGGACCGGATGCCTGATCTTAGTTTTTTGAATGTTGAGCTTTAAGCCAACTTTTCCACTCTCCTTTTTCACTTTCATCAAGAGGCTCTTGAGTTCTTCTTTGCTTTCTGCTATAAGGGTTGTATCATCTGCATATCTGAGATTATTGATATTTCTCCTGGAAATCTTGATTCCAGCTTATGCTTCATCCAGCCCAGCATTTTGCATGATATACTCTACATATAAGTTAAATGAGCAGAGTGACAATATACAGCCTTGATGTACTCCTTTCCCAATTTGGAACCAGTTCCATGTCCAGGTCTAACTGTTGCTTCCTGAGAAGCATACAGATGTCTCAGGAGGCAGGTCAGGTAGTATGATATTCCCATCTCTTTTAAGAATTTTCCACAGTTTGTTGTGATCCACACAGTCAAAGGCTTTGGCGTGGTCAATAAAGCAGAAATAGATGTTTTTCTGGAAGTCTCTTGCTTTTTTGATGATCCAGCGGATGTTGGTAATTTGATCTCTGGCTCCTCTACCTTTTCTAAATCCAGCTTGAACATCTGGAAGTTCATCGTTCAAATACTGTTGAAGCTTCGCTTGGAGAATTTTCAGCATTACTTTGCTAGCTTCAATTGTGCAGCATTTTGAACATTCTTTGGTATTGCCTTTCTTTGATATTGGAATGACATTTTCCAGTCCTGTGGCCACTGCTGAGTTTTCCAAATTTGCTGGCATATTGAGTGCAGCACTTTCACAGCATCATCTTTTAGGATTTGAAATAGCTAAACTGAAATTCCATCACCTCCACTAGCATTGTTCATAGTGATGCTTCCTAAGGCCCACTTGACTTCACATTCCAGGATGTCTGACTCTAGGTGAGTGATCACACCATCATGGTTATCCAGGTCATGACAATCTATTTTGTATAGTTTTTCTGTGTATTCTTGCCTCCTCTTCTTAATATCTTCTGCTTCTGTTAGGTCCCTACAATTTCTGTCCTTTATTGTGTTCAACTTTGCGTGAAATATTCCCTTGGTATCTTTAATTTTCTTGAAGAGGTCTCAAGTTTTTCCCATTCTATTGTTGTCCTCTATTTCTTTGCATTGATCACTGAGGAAGGCTTTCTTATCTCTCTTTGCTATTCTTTGGTACTCTGCATTCAAATGGGAATATCTTTCCTTTTCTCCTTTGCCTTTAGCTAAGATATCCTTGTTATCCTAGCTGGTAAATTTTTGCCTCTGCCACATACTTCTGTAGTATCATTTACACAAGAGAAAATAGACCACTGAGATGGATTTTCTATTATTTTTGGCAAACATTAATAACTTATTAATACTTATTAATAACTTATTAATAAGATAAAATTATTACTCTAGAATCATCAGAAAAGGATAAAACCTTTCATAATTAGAGTGTAGGGGGTTAGTAAATGACAGTTCCATTCACTGGAACCATCTGGGAGTCACAGTATTCACATAAGAACCCAATGTTAACATTATTACAGTTTAATATTGAAGGTGTGGTTTGGGGCTTGCTAATATACAATCTATAATTAGGCAGACTTACTGACACTATGTCGAGGCAGTTAGACAGTACAGTAACTGGCCTCAACAGGTAAAGCTTACATTATGGAAGAGCTTAGAATACACCTTTTTCACAATGAGATGAAGTAGGTCCCAAAAAAGAAGAGAAGGCAGAAGCCTAAGTCTTCAGATTCTTCTTCCAGACTCTTCCCTCAGCAAAGAGCAGCAATCTATCAGGACAGTCTAGCCTACTTTGCCCTTATAATGCTTAACTCCAACCACTTTTTTGGATTTTCTTGAGTCCATCAGTGGGCACTTCAGCTTTGCTTCAAGAAAGCTCTAGAGTGAATCATAGCAATATATAGTCAATTACATGAATTCTAAGACACTCCTATCACCAAAGACTGACATGTCCAGCCTGATTGTCTAAGAAAGTAAATCTGAAGTACTGTACTAAGATTAAAAATCAGCATAAACAAAACCCAAGCATTTAGAAATATACCAGATTTTAGTGTGAATTCCTTTTCATCATTAAATGTTCACTATAACAATCACTAGGTGATGTATCTATACCATTCACATTTATAATGATTTTTGATCTAACTGAATTAATGTCTGCTGTGTTCATAACTCTCTTCTATTCACTGTACTTGCTTCTTTTTTGTTAATCTTCCCTTTTCTTTCATTTTCCCTGGTTTAGTTGAGAATTTTAATGTGAATTTATTTTATCTCCTCTAAGCATATCACTTATACTTCTGCTGTGTACTGAATTGTGTTTCCCCCTCAGTATGATTGTATCTAGAGATAGGATCTTTTAGAGGTAACTAAAGTTAAATGAGATTGTGAGAGTGGGGCCCTATCCCAATAGGACAGTGGCCACTTATCAGTGATATTTTGTTATAACAGACTCAACTAACTATGACCATTTCTTTTTAACTTTTTTTAAAGGATCCCCCAGACTTTGCAATATTCACTGATAACGAATACAAGCCTACCTTCCAATAATACTATACCAGTTCAAAGATTATACAGGTACTTCACACCTCCCATGCCTTATTACATTGTTGCAATTCACTTCACTTATTCATATGCAAAAATCTCTGTACACTTTATTACCATTATTATTATAAATAAACATGCTCGCAATCAAAAATAAGAAAAAAGATTTTACCTTCATTTATTCCTTTTCTGACACTTCCTGCGTAAATATAAGTTTTGGAATTATATGATTTTCCTCTCTGAAGAACTTCTTTTAACATCTCTTACAGGACAGGTCTTCTGGCAATGAAATCACTCAACTTTTGTTTATCTGAGCAACAATTTCTTCTTCACTTTTGAAAACAAAGCCACTGGAAATAAAATTCTAGATTGTTGGAAGTTTTTTGTTTTTGCTTTCAATATTTTGAATATTTTACTTGATTCTCTTCTCACTTGCAAGGTTTCTGGAGAGAAGTTTAGTGTAACTCTTACCCTTACTCCTCTGTAGCTAAAGTTTTTTATTCTCTGGTTTCTTTCAAAATGTTCCTCTTTGTCTTTGATTTCCTGTAATTTTAATATTTTGGGCTTGTTTTTATTAGGCTTAGTTTTTTCTGAGATTCCTGGTGTTGTACTTGGGTGTCTATTATTAGTTTGTAATGTTCTCAGTCCTTATTACTTCAAATATTCTTCTGTTTCTTTTTCTCTTTATTCTGGTGTTCCCATTATGTTTATGTTATTCCTTTTGAAATTGTACCATTTATTTTTCATTCTTTTTTCCTCTGTATCTTTCAGTTTTAGAAGTTTCCATTGTTGTATCTTCAAGCTCACTGACTTTCATGTCTGCTGTGTCCAGGATGCTCATGAGCTCATCAAAAATATTTTTCATTTTTTTACACTGTTCTTGATTTTTAAACACTTTCTTTTGATTTTTTGTAGTTTTTCCCTTTCTCACCTTACATTACTCATCTGTTTTGAATTGTCTACTTTTTTTCTTTAGATCCCTTAACATGTTAATTGTAATTATTATAAATTCCCTCTGTGAAATTCCAAAATGTGTGTCATATATGGGTCTGGTTCTGACATTTCCTTTGTCCTTTCAGACTGTATATTTATTTCTTGCTTTTTAGCAGGCCTTGTGATTTTTTTGTTGAAAGTTAGATATGATATATTGGGTAGTAAGAACTCATGTATGTCAGCTTTCAATGCAAGGTTTTATGTTAATCTCACTAGAAGTTTGGGTATGTTTAACGTTTGCTGTAGCTGAAAGTGCAAAAGCGTTCAAATTCCTCTAATGTCCTTGATTTTGTCCCTCTCGTTTTCTTTGCACTCCTCTAAGAACTCCTCTTTAAATAGAATTTCTCCCGTGTAACTCTTTAGCTGGAATCCACTGTTATTGCATAAGAGTCCCGTTGACATGGTGGTAAATTGCTGCGGAGGGAAAGTATTCCATTATTTAATGACTAAATCTCAGTCTTTTAGTTGACCTGTGTTCTAGGGCCATGACCTTCACACATGTTTCTTGGCTCATGTCTCTTCACTGACTCACCCACTGGTTATGTGAGACAGGAAGGTTACTGAGAACTGGAGTTGGGTAATAAGTAATTGGAAGAGTGAGGAGGTCCTAGTAATATCTTTCCCTTACAACAGAGTTGTTTTAAAATATAGCATATTAATTAAAAATTGCAATATAGTTAGACCAATGTACCTGGACATGATTGCCATTGAAAAGATAGTTTATTACTCACAGTTCCCAAGAAGAAGGGACATGCCATGTCACTGGGGTGAGGGGTACATATGGGGAAGTACTGGTGTCTGTCATAAGGCCGAAGAAGGCAGAATGGTGGGTAAGAGCTTTTATTATGGTTTCCATGGAAAGGAGTGCATGAAGCAGGGTAAACATTCTTAGTATTGACTAGCTTGAATACATTCAATATTGAATAGGGACATAGGGTGGTCGTAGTTGTCTCTTACCTAGCTTTGAGGTGATGAGGGTAAGTGGATACCGCTGCCCAAATATGTGAGATCCTGATAAAGGAGATAGTTGGTATGTGGTCTCTGCATTTGCATTTGAAATCAGCAAGGGGTCAGCAAGGCCTCAAGCTATCAAACCATTAGAATACAGGGGGAAAAAAAAAGACAGTAAATATTGTTGTTAATAATTGTTACTAATTAATAATAATTAACACTAGTTAATACAGTGGATTTTTTCCCCTGAAGAATCCCTTTGGTGTATTTGATTATGGTTGCTTTTCTCCACTGTTGCCAGAAGTGGAAGGGGCTCTTTCTTGGCCCTTCACTCTAAGTATCTGGTGGAGTTCCTGGAGACAAACCCCACGTAAGTGTGAGGGTACCCTAAGACTGTGGACTTCAGGTTTTTGTCATTTTCACGCTAGTCCCCAGCAGCTTCCACAGTTTTGTCTAAACTACCAATCAGTGTTCCTACCGGTTGATAGCTCTAGCAGCTTCTACTCTGGCTCAGGAGATCTTGGCTGAGATTCTCTATTCATCTTGCGTGTCTCTGCAGATTTCATTGTTGGTGGTTGGCCTTACAACTTCTCTTCTCTGATGGGCCCAAGGAAAGTCATCCGTTTTCAGTTTGTTCAGCTCTTTTCCTCATTGTAAAGATGACAATGGCAACTTCAAAGCTCTTTAATATTGGAGCTGAAACTGGTCGTGCTGTAACTGAAGCAAGAAATCAAATGATATAAATCTAGTATTTTCTAGAATTAGAGCTCTCAGCTTTTTGAAGTGTTGGTCTTTTATGTTGCAGAACTTGTTGAGAAATGTAGTAAAATATAGAAAAAAAATCCATACATTAAAAATTTAAAGTTTTTAGATTATACTCTTTCTTCCTATAATGTTATATTGCCATTGGCTGTGTCTGCTTCCTGCAGGGCCTAATGCTGCATTAGGACAGTCCTTTTCCTGTCAATTAACAGCCACTGATGTGGACAAAATCATGATAAGCTATAGCAATTCACGAAAATAAAATTTATGTTACTAGTACTTGCTATACCAGTCTTAAAGCCATCCTCATGCCAGTTAAAAAGTTAACCAAACCATTTTAATAAGTGGATGCATGACACAATGTAAATGAATACAAATGCCAAGATTAATTATGGACTTCCAGCCTCTGAATTGTGAGAAAATATATTTTTCCAAAAGGCAAGAAAATAAATTTCTGTGGTTTAAGCCAGTTTCTTTATGAAACTTTGTGATGGTAGCTCTGGCAAATTAATACAAAGATATGTGTGAGGTTTTCTTTAAAAAAAGTTACTGGAGTATAGTTGATTTACAATGTTGTGTTACTTTCAGGTGTTCAGCAGAGTCAGTTGCACAAATACATATATCCAGTTTTTTCAGGTTCCTTTCTCATATAGGGCATTGGAGAGTATTGAGTAGTGTGTACAGTAGGCCCTTATTAGTTACGTTTTATTTATAGTACTGTAGAAATGTCGATCCCAGTCTTCTTCCCACTCAATTGCTCCCCACCTCATCCCCTGGTAACCATAAGTTTACTTTCTATATCTGTGACTCTACTTCTGCTTTGTAAATAAGTTCACTGGTACCCCTTTTCCCCCTAAGATTCCACACTTAAGTAACAGCATATGATATTTGTTTTTCTGTGCCTGACTTACTTCACTCAGTATGACAATCTCTAGGCTCACCCATCTTGCTACAAATGGCATTATTTTGCTTTTTATGGCTGAGTAATATTCCATTGTATATATGTATCACATCTTTATTCCTCTGTTGATAGACATTTAGGTTGCTTCCATGTCTACCTGTTGTAAATAGTGCTGCAATGAACATTGGGATGCATGTATCTTTTTGAATTATGGTTTTCTCTGGGTATCTGCCCAGGAGTAAGGATTGCTATTTTTATGAAAACATTTTTTGGATGAGTGTGTGTAGATGACAGTTATTTCGGGTGTATTAAGTGATTTGGGTAAGTAGAACTGATAGTTTTTGATAGCTATATTGAGATATATAACATTCTGTAAGAGTAAGTACTATGTGCTGATTTGATATACTTATATATTGCAAAATTATTCCCACCATAGTGTTAGCAAACATTGCAATCATCTCATGTAATTATTGTTTATTTTTTGTAGTGAGAACACCAAAGATACTCTTTTGACAGTTCTCTAGTATATAATATAGTATTATTATAATAATCAACATGCTGCACATTATTCGTCTTATCACTTTTGAGTAACATCTCACCATTTCCACCATTTCTAACCTCTGGTAAACATCATTCTACTCATTGTTTCCATGGTTTCAACTTCTTTAGATTCCACTTATAAATGATATCATATGGTGCTTATCTTTCTCTGTCTGGCTTATTTCACTCAGCATAATGCCTTCAAGGTCCATCCATGTTGTTGCATATGGCAGGATTTCCTTCTTTTACATGGCTGAATTATATTCCATTGTACATACAGACCACGACTTCTTTATCAATTTTTCCAGTGATGAGCACTTAGGTTTTTTCCATATCTCAGATATTGTAAGTAATACTGTAGTGAACATATACCATTTGTCAGTTTGTCTTTTAAAAATGTCTGTTCAATTCCTCTGCCTAGTATTTTTTTTTCTATTGAGTTGTATGAGTTCATATTTTTATATTAGCTTCTTATCAGATATGTGATTTGTAAATATTTTCTCCCATCTCTTATGTTGGATTTCCACTTTGTTAATCATTTCTTTTGTTACGCAGAAGCTTTTTAGGATGGTATAGTCCCACTTACTAATTTTTGCCTTTGTTGCTTGTGCTTTTGGTGTCATGTCCAAAAAAACTTTTGCTAAGACCAATGTCAGCAGATTTTTTCCTATGTTTTCCTCTAGGGCTGTTACAGTTTCAGTTTTTATGTTTAAATATTTAGTACATGTCCAGCTTTCTGTGGCTTCCCTCGTGGCTCAGATGGTAAAGCGTCTGCCTACAATGCGGGAGACCCAGGTTCAATCCCTGGGTTGGGAAGATCTCCTGGAGAAGGAAGTGGCAACCCACTCCAGTATTCTTGCGTGGAAAATCTCATGGGTGGAGGAGCCTGGTAGACTACAGCCCATGGGGTCACAAAGAGTCAGACACGACTGAGCAACTTCACTTTCAGCTTCTTGTGAGGTATCTAAGAAAGAGGTCTAATTTTATTCTTGTGCATATGGTTATCCAATTTTCCCAACATGATTTATTTAAGAGACTGTCCTTTTTGTATTGAGTTTTGGCTCCCTTGTCAAATATTAGTTGGCCATATAATCAAAGTTTTATTTCTGGGTTCTTAACTTTATTCCTTTGACCTACGTGTCTGTTTTTAAGCCAGTGTGCATGTGTGTGCTCAGTCTTGTCCAACTATTTGTAACCCCATGGACCCCAAGCTCCTTTGTTCATGAGATTCTCCATGAAAGAATACTGGAATGGGTTGACATTTCCTTCTCTAAGGGATCTTCCCAACCCAGGGATTGAACCTGCATCTCTTGCATCTCCCTCATTGGCAGGCAGATTCTCTACCACTAACACCACATTGGTGTTTACTTTTATGCCAATGCCATACTATTTTGATTGATATGGCTTTGTAGTGTAGATCAAAATTAGGAAGTATGATGCCTACAGCTTTGTTATTTCTAGAAGTGGTTTTGGATATTTGGGGTCTTTTGTGGTTCCATATGAATTTTGGGATTGTTCTCTTTCTGTATAAAAATGCCACTGGAATGTCCATAAGGATTGCATTGCATCTATAGATGGCTTTGGGTAATATGGGCATTTTAGTCCACTTAATTGCAGCATGTCGGCTTAGTTGTCCTGTAGTATGTGGGATCTTAGTTCCCCAACCAGGGATCAAACCTGTGTCCCCTGCATTGGAAGGTGGATTCCTAACCACTGGGCCACCAGGGAAGTTCCTGGTATATTAATCCTGCAACTTTACCTAATTTATTTATTATTTCTAATAGTTTTAGGTGAAGTCTTTAAGATTTTCTATAAGATTATGTTATTTGCAAAGAGACAATTTTACTTCTTTTTCAATTTGCCTTTTATATGTATGCCTTTTATTGCTCCAGCTAGGACTTCCAATACTATGTTGAATAAAAGTGACGAAAATGGGCTTTAAATGTCTTATTCCTGGTATCAGAGGGAATGGTTTCAGCCTTTCACCATCGAGTATGATGTTAGCTGTGAGTTTGTCCTTTTTTTCCTTTCTTATGTTGAGGTATATTCCTTTCATACCTACTTTGTTGAGAGCTTTTATCATGATAAGATGTTGAATTTTGTCAAATGCTTTGTTTGCATGTTGACATGATCATACAATTTTTGTCTTTGGTTCTATTGTGTGGCATGATGTATCACATTTATTGATTTGTGTATGTTGAACCATCCTTGCTTGCATCTCAGAAATAAGTCCCGCATGATCATGATTTTGAACATTATAAACGTGCTGTTGAATTTGTATTGCTAGTATTTTGTTGAGGATTTTTGCATCTGTGTTCATCAGGGATATTGGCCAGAATAAGTAGGCCTGAGCACATGTTTGGTGACGAGGTTCAGCTGCAGTAGTCTAGGCTGGTGTCTTTCACTGACATAACTGTAGAGGCCTGGGCTGGCTTCTGGTGTAGTTTCTGGGCTCTTGCAGGGGATGGAGAAGGGATGGGGAGGGAGGAGGAAGACACTCAGGCAGGCAATGCCAGCCAGTGCGAGTCTCTGTGGCGTGAAAGCTGGTGAAACCTACAGGGGATCCATGGCAGCTCTGATGGCCATTTGTTCTTTCTTCAATGGCAAAAGCTGCTGGCTGAGTTTTTCTATAAAGCAAGTCACTGTGAACTGTGAGCACTCCCAG